TAGCTGTTGGGCTCAGGGGAACTTCAAATCTGACGTAATGTACTGGGGGGACCTGGTTGCTTAGGCAGTGATCGTAGTGAACACAACCATCGTGTCAGTGATCTGGTGGGTGGCTGCTGTGAGTCCAGAACACGTGCGGGAGATTTACCCAAAATAGCTGGAGCTTTGGGGATTATAATCAAATGCTCATTTCAGCCTCTGCTCTACTCTCTCCCATTTTTTTTTAATGGAGAACAAAAAGGTTCTCTAACACCACAGACTAAATTTTAAGTGAGTTTATCCATCTCTATTGTATCAGCTGATTTTCTGTCAGACACAAAGATCTGAACATTAATTTTATGTCCGCCGAAAGCCAGGTGTTATAAATCTCTTCACGTTCTGGGGAGTATACCTTAAAATCTATAAAGCAAATTTGTGAATATATGCCAAAAAGGAGGTCATGATTTTGAACAGTTTTGAATATACCTATAACTTTGGATTTAGAAGAATCAGTTTCATTGCAGCCAGACTCAAATTCATTTCATGGCTAACTGAATAATTAAGTATATACAAGTTCTGAAATTTTCTCTGAGGGAAAAGGGATAACATCTGTGTAGCATTTTCATATTTTATTTTGGATTAACACCCTAAGAGCTGTATCCCAGGAAATGGAAAGGATGGCAGTCATGCTGGGCACTGTGCGCTCTCTGGTTTGGTATCACTGTATGTTCTCATTTTCATGTTTCTATGTAATTATTCCACTCTTAATTGTAATGAGACTTTAATAAAAATATAATTTACTAAGTTTTCTTGCTGACAGTCTGACAATTAATTAAAGGTCTTATAATATTTAGTGGATTATTTTCTGTGTTTATTCCTTAGTTCAGCTTTTTAGTTCTCCCTTAACCGCTTTCTTAATGCTTTCATTGTGAACTCTTTGCTTCCCCTCCGCTTTTCTCCGTTTCCCATCCCTGTTCTCTCTTTCTTTTCTTCTTTCATCCTCTTCTTTCCTGTCTTTTTAAAAAAATTTATCTGTGATATAACTAACAAAATTATATGAGTTATAGGTGTACAAGATAATGATTCATTATGTGCATATATTGAAAAGTAGTCACACAAATAAATTTAGTTAACACTTGCCACCATATTTAGTTACAATTTTTTCTTGTGATGAGAACATGTAAGATGTGTTCTCATAGCAACTTTAGTATCTCCAATAGAGTACTATTAACTACAGCCACCATGCTGTACACGAGACCCCCAGATCACACTTCTAACTGAAAGTGTGTGTCCTTTGAACCTCTCCCCCATTTTAGAACTCTCTCCAGACTCTGCAACCAACAGTCTATTCTCTCTAGAATGAGTACCAGTATCCTGAGTTTTTGAAAGATAATTTATGGTAGTTTGGACTGTTTTGTGTGGTGTTTGTCCAAAGACATAAAACAAATAACCTCCAAATTTGATATATAATATAATTACCAATTACTATTTGCTGTACTCCAAATTTTAAATATATGCAGATAGAAATAGATATTATGAACATAACTTTTTATGTTTGTTTTAGAATTCTAGTAACTCACCATACAACTTATGTTGCAACTTTGATTGTAACTGACCATATCATTTTTTTTTCAGAGATCTATAAATTGTTTTCAACTTAATAGTCTTAGGACAATAACATACTAGTCTTAAAAAAAAAACATTTCTTTTCATGGGCATAATTTTTTAAGAAAGTGAAAAGATATTCATATTATTAAATTTTGTTAAAGGATACCAAATCCTGTTTGAAAAAGACTGATTCAATTCATTGACATATAAACAAAATATAAATGTAATCATTTCTCTATGCCCTCAACAATACTAAATCTTCTAAAATTTTGTTTGTTGACAATATGATAGTTATACGATTTTATTTTATTGTAATAATTGTCACTTCCCTGAATTCCAGCAGGCTTAAGAATAATTTTACACATTTACTGCTCCACTAAAATTCCTTTGCTGTGAAATATTCATTTATATTTTTTGCATAATGATTTATTGTGCTTGTTTTACTTGTCTTGCCTTTATGAATTATTAGCATCTCTGCACATATCTTTATATCACATTTTAGTATTTTTCCTTCAAGCCTGTCACATCCATCTTGCTTTCGTTGATTCTGTTTGTACACTGTTGCTGTATGATGCTATTTTTTAGAAATTTATTCACTGGTCTCCCCAAAACTAGCATATAGATGTATATTTACCTTTTTCCTGATCCTTTTATTTTTAATATCCAGCAATAGCACAATAGCTATTGATGTGGATATTGAAACTGTCTCAATTCAAATCCCAGCTCCACCACTTAGCAGTTGAATGGCATTGAGCAGGAAACTAACCCCTCTGAGACGACACTAATACAAAAATACTAACAGTGCCCATGCCATGAAGCAGTCATGATGATTAAATATCTTTTAAAAAGTGTAGGGCAGTGATTGGCCTACATTAAATTCCTTGTGGACATTAGTCACTATTTAGTTTATAAATAATTTATTTACCTATAATATTTTATCTTTATTTTGCAAAAAAAAACAAAATTAGACAGTAGAATGTATATTTAAGTACTTAGCTGATTGCTATTAAAATTGTAGATGTGATAGAAAACTCAAAGAAATTTTGCAAAATAGTGTTGAAAGATTTGACTCAAAAATAAAAAGTGGTATTAATGCTAAAAATAACTGGTGAAATTATCTTTATTTTTTAAATATATTTTATTACACCCTGGCTGGCATAGCTCAGTGGATTGAGCGTGGGCTGGGAACCAAAGTGTCCCAGGTTCGATTCCCAGCCAGGGTACATGCCTGGGTTGCAGGCCATAACCCCCAGCAACTCTGCATAGTGATGTTTCTCTCTCTCTCTCTCTCTCCCCCCCCCTCCCCTCTCTAAAAATAAATAAAATCTTTAAAAAAAATAGACCAAATACAAGGCCATATATATATATAATCAATTATGCTTCTACAGTTCTCCCATTTTCCCAACTTTATTTCCTTAATCTCTGTACACCCACCCACATTCCCCCCACCTTAGTTCATGGCCAGGGGTCGGACATGTAAGTTCTTTGGCTTCTACATTTCTTATACAATTCTTAACCTCCCCTTGTCTATTTCCTACCTGCCATTTATGCTACTTGTTCCCTGTACCATTTCTCCCTCTCTCTGCTTCCCCCTCCTCACTGCTAACCCTACATGTGATCTCCATTTGTGTTTTTCTGTGTTCCTGTTCTAGTTGTTTGCTTAGTTTGTTTTTGTTTTTGTTTTTAAGTTGGGTTGTTGATAGTTGTGAATTTGTTGTCATTTTACTGTTCATATTTTTTATCTTCTTTTTTTTTTTAGATAAGTCCCTTTAACATTTCATTTAAGAGCTTGGTAATGAACTCCTTTAACTTGACCTTATCTGGGTAACACTTTATCTGCCCTCCCATTGTAAATGAAAACTTTGCTGGATAAAGTAATCTTGGATGTAGGTCCTTGCCTTTCATGGCTTTGAATACTTCTTTCCTGCCTCCTCTTGCCTAATAGGTTTCTTTTGAGAAATCAGCTGACAGTCTAATCAGAACTCTATTGTGGGTAACTGTCTCCTTTTCTCTTGATGATTCTAAGATTCTCTCCTTATCTTTCATCTGGGTAATGTTATTATGATATGCCTGGATGTGTGCTTCTTTGGGTCCAACTTCTTTGGGACTCTCTGAGCTTTCTGGACTTTCTAGAAGTCTATTTCCTTTGGCAGATTAGGGAAGTTCTCCTTTATTATGTTTTCAAATAAGTTTCCAATCCCTTGCTCTTCCTCTTCTCCTTGTGGCATCCCTAGGATTCAGATGATGAAACATTTAAAGTTGTCCCAGAGGTTCCTAAGCCTCTCCTCATTTTTTTTTTTGAATTCTTGTTTCTTCATTCTGTTCTGGTTAAATGTGATTTCTTCATTCTGCTCCAAACTGTTGATTTGAGTTCTGGTTTCTTTCCTGTCACTGTTGGTTCCCTGCACATTTGCCTTTATTTCACTTTTCATAGCCTTCACTTTTTCTTCTGTTTGGTGACCATACTCTACCAATTCTGTGAGCACACTGATTAGTGTGTTTTGAACTTTGCATCTGAGAGGTTAGCTATCTCTTCCTCACTTCTATTTTTTTCCAGAGCTTTGATCTATTATTTCATTTGGGCAATTTTTTTTTTGTCTCGATACACCTGTTACATAGTAAGGTGTTCACCTGGGCAGGGCAACCCAGGTGCTGCCTTTTGGTGCTATATGTGGGGGAGGGGTCCAAGAGGGAACAGTGCTGCTCGTTCGGCTCTCTGCCAGCTTTTACTCACTTCCCCCGTCCAATGGCCTCTCTTGTAAGACTGAGAGTTTCTCCCACTGCCGCCTCAACCTCCACAGGTGTTTTCAGTCAGAGGTTTGAGGCTTTATTTCCCTGCGGGGACTCTAGGTTGTGCAGTCTGTCTATCTCCCCAGTTGTTCCCCCTGGTTCATCTGCACACCAGTGTGGGACCGCTCAGCGTGCAATCCTCCACCTTGCCTACCCCAGTCCTCCAGCTGCCTCCTTTCCACGTGTCCTCTCCCCTCCACCTCGGCTGCCAGTTCTCTGCCCCTCCTGTCAGTCTGAATGAATGTTTCTTCTTCAGCTCCTGGGTTGTCAGACTTCATACAGTTTGATTTTCTATCAGTTCTGGTTGTTTTTTGTTTTTAAATTTGCTGTTGTCCTTCTTTTGGTTGTGTGAGGAAGTACACTGTGTCTACCTACGCCTCCGTCTTGGCTGGAAGACAAATTATCTTTATTTTAAATCAATATGAACTACACTTTAAAAAGCTGTTTATTATAAAATAAATATGACAAAAGTTTGCATAAAGACCAAGTATATTTAAAGTTGTATTAATATAAATGTTATGCATGTACAACTTATTTTATATACTGCCATATATTTACTTTATGAGGAAAATCTAAATATATTATCACTTTGCTAATATTTCATTCTGATTTTTTTTTTTGACCCATGTCCCGGAGCTTGAGGAGAAAACCTGCAGACGAAACCGTCGGCACCGAAGACGTGATGCTGAGGGGCCAGAGCCCTTTGCCTCGGCCCCCATACACTATGGGGACCGGGACCGCACGCCCGGCCCCTGCCAGGAAGAGGAAGGTGTATTCTGAATCTTTAAGTTATAACTTTCATTGATCTTTTTCATCTTAAGATGTTTACATATCTTAATAACAAAATTATACTGGCTTTATCAAGTAAATTGGTGATTTATTTATTGTTTTGTTGATTCATTTAACCTAAATTATCACAAAATCAGCATTTGAAAACAGCAATGATTTATCACGTCACAATGCCTGTCAGTCAAGAATCTAGGTTTGAGTTTGTTCACACACCAGACTAAAAATCTGCTGTGGACCAGGTCTGCGAACTCACTGGAGGCTTGAGTTTCTTTTCCAAGCTCATTCAAACTCTTGGCAGAGTTCACTATCTTGAGGTTTGTTCATCTAAAAATAAAAGGCCAAACTGAGAGGAAGAAGCATTTCTTCTAGCTCTAAAAACAAAATAGTTATTCGGGAACCACTGATTCCGGCAGATGCCCAAGTAGCGTTTCAATGAGGGGATAAAGGCAAAGGGGTTTTATGAGAAAGGGAAGGAGGGTAATTACAGGGAATACGAGGAAGGGATTTCTATGGGTGTTAATAAGCTACGTTATTCTTTAGTTGTCCATGGTGGTGCCAATTCTAAAGAATGTCTTTAATTTTCACTTTGGAAGTCAGGATGTCTGCTTTTCTGTTAGCTCTGCAAACAATCATTTGGAATGGGACACTGGAGCAGCCCAGGCCAAAGGCGCCTCTGCCCAGTGTTAGCATCTAAAGGTCGAAGGAGTGAGACCTACTGGGCAGTTCCTCTGGGGCAGCAGCTCCAGCTGCATTTTGAAGGGCCCCATTCATATCATTGTCCACAGGGCACAAAACTGAAGTCACAGTTTTTTGTCAAAGGGAGACAGTTCTCCGCTGCTATAGTCTGCCATAGATGCTACACTGCATCCCTCAGCACAGTGGGGTGGTGGCTTCTTCAAGGGGAATGGGAAATGGCTTCTGTGGCTTCGAGTCTCCGTAGCTTCTCCCATCTCTGTCATTTAGATGTGCCTTTAAAGGACTCCCCTGACCAGGTCAAAGTATAAAGGGAATATAGGGATTCTACACCAAGGATTATATAGGCTCATCTTAAAATTCTACCTATGGTATTCATCTATTGCTATCATCTAGAATATGAACAGCTTAGATATTCTCTACCCCTTGTACCTGTATGGTCCAAATTATTGGCACATAATCAATTCTAGTTTTAGTCTTAGGTGTTTTTTTTAATTTTTATTGAATTCTACAAATGATCTACTGATGTCATCTTTTACAATGCTGGCGTCATTTATTTCTTTTTTTTTTTAGCATTTTGTTCAGTTTGGCCAGTGATATATTTATTTGTTTTGCAGAAGCAGCTTGCTTTTGAAATTACAAAGACACTAACAAATTTTCAGGATACAAGAAAGTAAATGTTCATTGGACAGAAGTAAACTCAAATCCATTTCAACTTGTGAAGCACATTTTAGGTTTTGTTAAAAGGATGAGAAGATAGTGATACATGCAAAAATTATGATTTTTCTCCAACAGTGTCCCTAAAATAAACTCAGCATGGGTAACACTTTGCAGAGTGTAGGAGGTGATTATGTTGCCCCCCGCCAAAATAGGCATTTAATTAATATTTTAAAGTGAATGAATGGTTTAATGAATAATCCAAAACTCTGACCCACCATTGTCAAAGATCTTGTGTAAGCATATCTTAATCCTAAAAACTCTGGTCTGTACAATATCATGATATTGCCTTCTCTCTTCTGTTAGCTTAAACAGACTATGTCAAGGACAGTAAAGAAAAAGTGCCTTAGTAAGGAATGGACATATGGATGAATGTTTACATCATGAATGTCATAAATGAATGAAATGCCATTAGTAGTTGAAAAGAGATCAGCCTGATTCCAATGTTTGCCATTTCTATTACACAATGGTCATTGATTATTGCACACTGTGACCAACGTTCTCAAGTTCTTCCAAAAGGAAAAGCTAAGGATTCCTCAAGATTCTGCTAGTCACATTTATTTTCAAAATATAATAGGTGAGTATATATTTTAATGTATGCTTTATAAATTTCAAATAAGGAAGAATATTTTAAGTGCATGAATAAAAGTGCAGATTAATGCACCCAATATCCATGTACTTAACACAAAACTTCAAAACTGAACATTAGTCACATTTGTTTCTGCTTCTTTTGAGAAATAAAATCCTCCTAATAGATCTGAGACCCACCGCGAGCACCTTCCTGATTACATTTCCCTAACTTCATTCCAGAGGTGGTCACTACCAATCACTCACGGTCTGGCAATCTTTTTTGTGTCCTCATACTTTCACTACCTATGCTTTCTTGCACAGGTTTTTAATTTTTTAAGTGATAGAAACATGTGTGTATTATTCTGGCACATAATCTTTGATCATCTTTTTGAGATTTATCCATATTGATACATGCCGTTCTAGTTTTAACTTCTGCATAAATCTCATAAATAAACTACAACTTATTTTTCTGTTATTCTGATATTTCAGATTGTTTAGAATTTTCATTATGACATGTAATACTCTAATAAATCTTTCGTGTAAATGTTATCAGACACAACTTCTCTGTAGTATTCAAAGATCTGTCTGGAAAAAAGTCCAGCCATTGTTAGTATAATGAGAACAGTTTGCACAACACTGATGTAACCTGGCAGCCAAGGAGAGTGGACTGGAATGCGCATGTGTGAAAAAATGACGACTTCACTCTACTAGTCAGTGGACAATGATGACTTCACTCTACTAGTCAGGGGGGCAGTAGTCGCTGTTGAATGAGCATGTGTACTGTATTGCTTTTGCATTCAAAATGAGCAAGTAGAACCTCAAATTTTGCATTAAGCTTGAGCATTCCTCCACAGAAACTATTTGGATGATTGAGAAGGCTTTCGGGGATGATGCAATGAGTGCAGCCCAAGTAAAAGTGTGGCACAAATGCTTCAAATATGGTTGACAATGTGTTGAAAATGATCCACACTCCAGAAGGCCTGCAACAAGCAGAGCACCTGAGAATGTTGAATGTGTACGGGCTGCAATCAGCAAAGATTGGTGACTGACCGTGTGAGAACTAGAAGCTGATGTGAGGATTTCAAAAACCACTGTCTTTGAGATTTTGACATAGGACCTTGGCTTGAAATGCTCTGTGGAAAATTTGTTCTGCAGTTTCTGCTCCCAGAGCAGAAACATCATCATACTGCAGTTGGGAGAACTGTGTGAGGTGCCAAGGTACCTACCTGGAAGTGGACTGAGGCATCATTATCCCATGTACAACGTTTCTTGTATCTTATATCTTCTTCAATAAATGTCTCTATTTTTAGTACATGGATGGATACTTTCTGGACAGACCCTGCTTACTAGGAATAGAATTTAGGGTTATAGAGAAGTTTGAAAAAATCTTTGAATGAGACATTCAAATTCTGTCTGTAAAGTGTTTTTCAAATTTATTCCTCACTAGAATTACATCAGAGTTCTTTTTTTCTCCAAATTCAAGCTAACATGCAAAATTATATGACATCTGACAGGTCTGAAATGTTATCTTCTTTTAATTTGAATTTTCTTATTTCAAGATTGAACAACTTCGCATAGACTTTATTTGCTATTGGTTTTATTTTTCTCAAAGTTGACAGTCATACCTCCTGAGCCTTACTTTCTATTGGTTCTTTTACTTTAATTCATTCATTTTAATGCCCTTTATATATTCTACATACTAATCCTTTTGAATATCCACACATTTAAAATATGCCTTTCAGTAGGTAGATACACTTAGTCTCCTCCCAAAACCAAAGAACAACAACAAATTTAAAACCAAAAAACATGCCCTGGCTGGTGCGGCTCAGTGGATTAAGTGCCAAACTGCGAACCAAAGGGTCGCCAGTTTGATTCCCAGTCAGGGCACGTGCCTGGGTTGCAGGCCAGGTCTGCAGTAGGGGGTGCTTGAGTGGCAACCACACATTGATGTTTTTCTTCCTCTCTTTCTTCCTCTCTTCCCCCTCTAAAAATAAATAAAATTAAAACAAAAACAAAAACAACCAGAACTGCCAAAAAAATTTAACTCTATAGAAGTCCAACAACCAAGGAGTTAAAGAAGAAATATTCATCCAGATTGGTAGGAGGAGCGGAGACAGGCAGCTGGGGTGGAGAGGACTCGCAGCGAGGCAGCAGCTGGAGGACTGGGCAAGGCAGCAGCTGGCAGAGTGGGCCATCCCACATTTGCATGCAGAAAACTTGGGGAACAACTGGGGGGCGAGACAGACCATGTAACCCAGGGTTTCAGTGCAGGAAAATAAAATCTCCAAACCTCTGACTGAAAAAACCTGCGGGCCCTACCTGGTGTGGCTCATAGATTGAGTGCCAGCCAGCATACCAAAGGGTAGCCAGCTCAATTCTCTGCCAGGGCACATGCCTGTGTTGCAGACCAGGTCCCCGATAGAGGGCGCACGAGAGGCAACCACACATTGATGTTTCTTTCCCTGTCTTTCTCCCTCCCTTCCTCTCTTTCTAAATAAACTCTTTAAAAAAGTTTTTTTTAACTATCTGTGGGCATTGTGGTGTCAGGAAAAACTCCCAGCTTCAGAGCAGAGTTTGTTGCAGAAACCCACAGGGTTCTAGAATATATGCAAACCCACCCACCCAGGAATCAGCACCAGAAGGGCCTGATTTGCTTGTGGGTACCAGAGGAAGTGAAAGCTGGCAGAGAGCTGAACAAGCAGCACTGTTCCCTCTTGGACCCCTCCCCCACACACATCACCAAAAGGCAGCACCTGGGTTGCCCTGCCCTGGTGAACACCTAAGGCTCTACCCCGCACTATATAACAGGTGTGCCGAGACAAAAAATATTGCCCAAATGAAAGGACAGGTCAAAGCTCTGGAAAAAAATAGAAGTAAGTGATGAAATAGCTAACCTATCAGATTCAGAGTTCAGAACACTGGTAATCAGGATGCTCACAGAATTGGCAGAGTATGGTCACAAAACAGAGGAAAAAGTGAAGGCTATGAAAAGTGAAATAA